TAGTGACAAACGAAGGGAATTGTCAACTCCTACCACAAAATCTCATGACTTATTGGGATTATTCACTTATACCCTTATATTCTTTGTTTGTGGGAGGACAAGGGCGGGGGCGAGGGGGTAAGGGGGGGATGCAGTGAGCGCTGGTGCTGCTGAACCCTCAGCACGCAAAGTGTGCACTGAAGACAGCGCACTCACCTTCACTCACTCACTCCTCCTCCTGCCTGCCTGCCTGCCTCTCGTACTATCACCGTTCCTACTACATACGTGCGCTCCTGTCTCTGATCCCTTGTCCACCCAACCCTACCGTTCCTCCCCCCCAGTTCACACAATCGGGAAAACATGGATACAATTATCTGTCACCGCACTTTCCGCCAGCCTTTCGCTACGGATACACCATCCATCTACCGTGCTTTCGTCCCTCGCCTCCCCTCTCCCTAGCTCACCTCCTCCCTCCCTTATCCACTCCCTCCCTCCCTCATTCACTTTCTCCTCCCTCTCACCTACCTCATCTCTATCCCCTCCCCTTCCCTCTCTACCTTCCTCCGTCCTTCCGTGTCTTTGCCCGCTATGGGAAGAATATATATAACGTGGGGACGCCCCGCTGGTTCCTCCCGCCATGTTCGAGTTCGACGTCGACACTATATCTCCTCAACGCCATACTCTACCTAGGGTCCCTCGGTCCGGCCTGTGGACTATCCTCGCCTCCTTCCCCAATCTTTATATGCAAATCTGAAGGGAACAATGATTGCATCCGCTCCCCAGATGCCTCAGTCTTCGCCCTTCACCTCCTCCGTTGAGGCTCCATTGGCTTCCCTCGTAACCAGTCTACACCTCTCCAGCCGTCTGGAGTTTGTCCGGCAGTACGAGGGCGCAGTGATTGTTCCAAAGGACCCGGTAGCTCGATTTCATAGCCTCTCGTGCCTGGCAGCTTGTGTTCTGCTCTCAGCCCTGGCAGTATCGTGTCTTCTGGTTGCTCTTCAGGATTATCGGCGTCACGCCATTATGTATGTCTCACTTTTTTCTTTTTAGGGCTATTGCTTTCCCTAAAGCCTTGTCTCCCTTCGCACATTGGCTGATGAGAGGGGACAATTCCGTGTGCGAAATTATAGGCCTCCCGGACCATCCCCTGTTCCTTTCGTGGGAAATAAGTGGGATTTGCCCTTGCAGAAGCCGTGGTACAAGTTCAAGCAGTGGACTGATATGTATGGCTCGTTGGTAACAGTATGGACTGGGCGCCGCCCCACAATTGTAATTGGAGACCCGAAGGTGGCTTGCGACCTTCTAGATCGCCGCTCAGTAATTTACTCGTCCCGTCCTCGATTCGTGGTCATGGGTAAGCCTGCATCATTCCTTTTCCCCCTCTCTGACACACACCCCACCTTTACGGGCTTTTCTCGGGTGTAACAAATAGCTAATTGCGTCACGGGGGCTCCCGACTCTCTCGCTCTTAGGCGAACTCTTTACAAACAATGATTCTCTACTCACAATGCCTCACGGAGACAAATGGCGAAAAACTCGGAAAAACTTTCATATGGGGCTTCATAGGCGCGCTTGTGAAAGCTACAAACCGATACAGGAAGCTGAGTCCCAGAGGCTTACTCGCGATCTTTTGGTCACCCCCGAGGTGTTCGGTAAACATCTGGAGAGATATGCTTCTTCCGTTATGATTTGTGTTGCATATGGACGCAGAGTAGACAGCTTGGAGGACCCAATTGTCAAGAAGATTTATGACCGGATGGCGTACATGTCGACTCTCAATGTGTAAGTTGTTGATTGTTTCCCCCTCTTCGCCTTGTCTTGTGTTGCACGCATTTTTCAGCCCCCACTAGGCGTTGAAGCCGAGGAAAAATGGCTGACAAGTTTCATGTCAGACCTGGAGCATTTTGGGCGGAATCGTTCCCTATCCTCAAGCTTATCCCCGACTGTTTGGCCCCATGGAAGCGAGAAGTTAAGCGTCGCGCAAAGGATTCGACCGAGATGCTTTCCAGACTCGCACTCGATGTTAGAGACCGAATGAAGAAAGGGGATGCTCCAGCATCTTTTACGAAGACATTATGGGAGAGAAGAGAAGGAAACCCGGAAGCTCTTTCCGAGCGAGAGATAGCATACGCGACCGGTTCATTGTTTGGTGCGGGAAGTGATACCTCATCTGCAACGCTTATGAGTTTCTTCCTGGCCATGACTTGTTTCCCCAGGGTTGCTGCGGAGGCACAGGAAGAATTGGATCGGGTGGTCGGCAGGGATCGATCTCCTACTTGGTCTGACGAGCCAAATCTCCCGTACTGTCGTGCGGTTATAAAGGAGACCCTAAGATGGAGGCCAGTTGCTGTTATGGGAGGTACACCCCATGCAAGCATCAAAGACGACCAGTACAACGGTCACTTCATCCCGAAGGGCGCAACGATACTGGGTAACCTGTGGGCAATTCATCACAACGAAAAGTACTTCAAGGATTCCCACGACTTTATCCCGGAGAGATACCTTGGCTCTGGAAAAATTGACAGGATGGAACCATATCCGCACCGTGATGGACATTCCGCTTTTGGATGGGTAAGTTTTCCGTTTCATCCTTGCACCACCCCTCCTCGATTCTTCCTCCTGTTCTCCCCCTCCCTCTGCTCACTTCCTTCTCCGCTCCCACTTTTCGTGGGTTCTCCGTTTCTTCGGAACTTTGTCAGCTGACAGATTTTGGTTACCAGGGACGCCGTATCTGCCCAGGCAAACAGCTTGCTGAGAATTCCTTGTTCATCACCATCACTCGGGTTCTCTGGGCCTTCAATATCTCCAAGGCGACCGATAAGCACGGCCAAGAGATAACCCCGAACATCTTTGCATATACAGACGGCTTCAATTCGAAACCGCAGCCATTTCAATGCCGAATTCGGTCTCGCACGCCCGGCATCCAGCAAATCATTGAGCGTGAGGCAAGACTCGGGGAACAGTTTTTGGATAAGTACGAGTGCAATTGAGTTACAAGGGGGGGTGAATGTGGGCGATTCCTTTTTTTTTTTTTTTTTTTTTTTTTTTTTTTTTTTTTTTTTGTTATTCTGGCGCAGTCGGTTAAAGGGCAACGGAGCACGTTCGGATTTTCAACTACAATCCCCACCTAATTATGTTTCTCCTTTTTGGTATGGCATTTAAAGGAATCGGCGTAATATCTTTTTTTTACTTTTCTCTCTTCCTCTCGATTTAATTTGCTTTTTATGCCCGCCGCGTCGCAGTCGTTTCACACATTGAACCTGTTTGATTCGGAATATTTTTCCTTGTGACTGTACCCTTGTATTTTGTTTTTCCTGGGATCGTCACTACGATACCTTGTCGAATGAAGGGAGGAGAAGCTACTGGAGAGTGCGAGGGGAAGAGGGACGTGATCGGTAAAGGAACTTTTAGGGATTTTTATTTTTATTTTTATTTTTATTTTTTTTGTTTTTGTTTTTTTCGTCTGATGTAAGTAATACATAAGGAAGGGTAGTGGGGATGAAGAAGTGGAGCTGCAACTCTGCACAAATAGAAAGGACAATATATCATATCATACCTTGGCAGATTACCGCAAGGAGTCTTGTGCTCGCTACCTCCGGTGGGCCTTAAAAATGTGGGGATCGAGAGACAAGAGCTCCTGAGAAGGATTGGTGCTTTGCTGGGCCAGTATGGTATCTTGAGCCCTCTACGAGTACGAGTTATAGTATGGTATAGTATGGTACTGTACAAGTGGGTGTGCAGTGGACTACGAGTATGATAGTTGTAGATGCGTTGGATCTCATTAACCTGTATTCGCAATTCTGTTAACCTGGGAAAGCTAAACCTATGGCAGACTAAGCCGGCGATTTCGGTTGACAACCTACTCGAGTAATTGCGAATTCCCAGGGTTCTTGACAGCATTTGCACTCGAGCACTGCACTCGAGCACCTGTGTGAAACCGGCATCACCACAATTGAAGGAGACACCTACAGTATCATGGTCTACTCTACATAATCCCTACCAGTCAACCAGCCAATCAATCAATCAATCAACAAATCAACCAATAACAGTACTCAGTAGGGTACGGTACAGTCACGGTTACTTGTATCCACTCATCTATGACACTCGATAGTATTTTCCGAAAGCGGTAGGTGAAAGATGAATGACAGCACCAAGCTGACAAGCAAGAGTTCATCCGATCTTTCGAGAAGAAAAAGAAAGAAAAAAAACTTTCAGCCCTCATTTATTACATTCTCCTTTAAATTATTCCCCTTTCCTTTTCGTGTGATAATGATTTCCCCCGAGGATGTTTGAAATGTCGCGATGAGTTAGCGTAGTATCATACCTTTGCATAGCATGGGCCCCACTCTCCGGCCAGCCGGCCAGCCAGCAAGATATTAGATTAGCAAGACCCGGTGACGATCACACGTATTCAAAACGGCACGCCGAATTCGCGGTATGTGGGTTTATCTTCGCCAAGGAAGTGGGTACTGTACCGTTATGATAGACTGTAGTACTCTTATCTCATTTTCTGACTTACTGTGCAGTACCGGTAGAGAGAGTCGGGATTGATGATTAGGCATCATCGTAAAAAGGGTCCCTGCCAAGATTTTTCTCACTTCCCCGCATTCTCCACCTCTCCTCCTCTTACTCTAGCGGGGGGTTTGTTTGTTTGTTTGGCGCGGCGATGAGGCGGTCGTGGGTGGGTAGAGTATAGTACTTTTACTATACACTAGTGCTGTATTGGGGGAACGGAGCTCGGATTGGGATAAAATTGGCGGGGTCGCCGGGGGTTTCGTTGATATCTATTAGACTAAGTTATCATGGACCAACTCTCCCCGCCCAATACTCTAATCATACTTGTATCATACTCTACCGGTAGGTAATAGTTCATCCCGACCAAAGTCGTGCCGTCAGCCAACCAGCCAAGCCAAGGAAACTTCCCCCCCCCCCCAATCACCGGTGCGTACGATATCGCACAAAATAGCACGTACCGTACCGAGAGCGGTATTCTCCAGTTTGGTTGGGACATCAAGGACCACAACAACAACGACCTCCTCTTCCCTTCCCTTGCCATGCCTTGCCATGCCTTGCCTTACCATGCATGCGGCACATCTTTTTGGTTTTTTTGAAACAGGAACGGCTGAAATGTGCTTTGTACCCTTTTTCCACATCCCATCCATCCCATCCCATCCCATCCACCTTGGAAAGGGGAAAAAAGAAAAAAAGAAAGAAGGAAAGGTTCCCAACGGTTTTTGTTTTTCCTTATTTATTTACTGTTTTTTCTTCTTCTTCTTGTTCTTCTTCACCCGGCTTTTGTCCTGCTTGTGGAGAAGGAGGGAGGTTGGGCAGCCCCTGAATACCGGTACTCGTACAGTACAGTGCTCGACGGTGGTATGGTTTAATGGATCGGGAATCGGGGCTGTGGCAGAAGAAAAGGAAGGAGGGAAGGAAGGAGGGAAGGAAGGAAGGAAGGAAGGAATGTGGCGGCGTAATAGGATATATGTTACTAATGTTAACTTTTATATTATATATTATGGCGGTACTCGGTTAGCGGTGTGATGCGATACGAGTAGGTAGCCGGCTAGCGGTTGATGGATTGATCGAGTGATTCGTTGATGATGGCGAAGTACTGTACGAGTACCGGTATGAGGGGAGGGGCACTCGATACGGAAGGTTACTGTTTGATGGGCTATTAGAGGTGGGATTGGAATTGGAACCGAGGGGCGGAAGACATACTGTACAGTACCCCACCGGGCACAAGGAACCAGTACCGGTATCGCACCGGACACAATCCGAGTGACTAGACTACAGCATCCATATTCCGCCTTCCCCAATCCCCGATGATATTACTCGTACTATACCATTATCCCACAGCCTCATATCCACCACCAATCACTCGACCACCATCCATCCATCCATCCGTCTAGCCCGCCTCACCATGATACGGCACTTTTTTTTTCCATAATACTGTACAGGAACCAAAAAGCTCCTAAAAAAACTACCGACCTTTTTTTTTTTTTCCTTTCCAAAACTTTATTCCCCCCCCCCACCTACCTACCCTACTTGTAACTTACCCCTTTTAGAAAAGAAAAGAAAAGAAAAAAAGGACTGCCCTACCGTACCAAACCCGTTAAAGTTGCTGCCCCGGTAAAGCCATCAGATGCATAGTAATCAGCAATACAAGTATGATACAAACAAATACTTTTCACGGTACCGTACCGGTAGAATGATAATTAGAAGCCGCCGGGCGCGCAAGAGCTCGGCAGATACAAGTTAAGTTACTTTGTATCATAAGATGTGTGACCCCACCCGGCTGATTACCATCCACCCATTTCACCGGTGAATTATTAACGCGATAGGCGCTGTTAAAAAAACGTATCATACCGGTATTCGAGATTGGATTGGATTGGTTGGGTATGGTTCGCCAGCAGGTCTTAGTGTGCCTACCTACAATAACCTACCGGCCGGCCGGTGTCAGATCTTGGCTGCGTTGGGAGAGCTTGTACAGTACACTACCGTCGAATGGCGGAAAATCATACTTTTTGTTGTGAGCTCTTGTGGAAAAAAAAAAAAAAAAAAAAAAAAAAAAAAGTATGATGACACTCCCCAGCGAAGGTGAAAAGGAATCGTTCTACAGTATCATACTGTACCATCTACGGCACGGTAATTGACCCTCACCGGTGGGCGAAACAATCGACGGTGCCACTGTACGTACAGTACGTATACCATACGCCACAGTATATATAATTCCTTCCATCATTTTTCCAAACAACCGTGCTGGTAATCACAGTAGGGTGCTTACTGCTCCGGTGAGCTGGTTAGACTAACTAACTGCGTGCTGACGGAGCTCCTGGTTTTTCCGCAAATTCCTTCCTCTGGATCGGAAATATGCACAAGCGGGGAGTTTCCAACTTTCCATTTCTTCTTCTTCTTCCGGGCCAGTGGGAGAAATGAATGTTGGATGTCGATGAGAAAGTGGTTGTACAGTACAGTACTGTAATACCTTTATTTTATTTATTTACTTTACGGCATTTTATTTTCATTTTAAAAACAAAACTTTTCGTGTATTACTGTGCTTGCACAAAGTATCGTTACCGTACCGTAGGTATGGTACAAGTTATCATAGCATGAAATTTAGGTCTTGAAATTTTTTTTTTTTTTTTTGGTCGGATATATAATTAATTGGGGGCGATCCCCGGATTTATCTTATCATACCTGGATTGGATTGGATTGGATTGGATTTTCGGGGACTCGCGGGGGGTTTTCCGAGGATTGCTTTGTCATGTATGATACCTGTACGGGTACTGTACAGTACAGTACTCTTAGTTTACGGGCTACAGATGGTGAGTCGTTCACAGCTGGAATGAGAATATGCAGCAGGGTACTTCTCTTTCGATAATCATTAGCTTTATTATTATTATTCATATTGTTTTGTCAGGAATGTAGTCATAGTCTACCCTTTGACATTATTCCCCTTTTCCAAAAGGGCGGATTATCCCGTACATTATAGCTATTCTATCCTTCAGTACTGTACGGTACCGTTATCTCGCAGTTACCCATATCAACGGTTGGGTTGGGGGTCGGTTCAGGTAACTGTACCCTGCATTCCCGTGACACCAGCATACAATAGATACTGATTAGCTACGATAGCGGTAGCGTAGATCCGGCGCATGAATGGGATTATTATCAAACGAATAACTAGATTACAGAAGGGAAAAAGGTACGAGTACCACGAGTTTAACCGCATTATCGTGTCCAGCCGCGGTAGCCTATTCATCCCTAATCGCGGACATGGCAGGTGCGAGTAGACGTGGATAAGCCCAGCTCCGCGCGGGTGAGACTCCGTTTACCTGTACTCTACCGGAGAAGAAGAATGCCCGAGACAGGTTCTTGGAGGTCAGTATTCTGAGAGGCTGTATGAATGCTCCGGCGAGGACTCGTTTTTTTTTTTGGAGGGGGGAGCATTCCCTTCCTTATCAATCACTATGACGATGTGTAAAGGGGTATGGTATGTCTCTATGAGAGCGGTGCGGAGATCCGTTTGCCGTTGTCATGTATAGCAAATGGGGGGGGATGCAAGTATGATATTATATGGCAATATATGAGGGACGGAGATGAAGAGACTTGACTGACTGTGCTGGCATAACATGCTCACGCTAAAGACCTGTTCTTCTTGCCTCTTGAGCTGAAATATGTTTCTCGATTCTAAAGTAGAGGAGCCCTGTACCGCAATGCTAGCTCAGATGGAGCATGTCTGGGGAGGGGCTCTCTTGCACTGGAATGGTAATTGTGTCTGCTGGACTGGGTGGGAGACGTGCGTGTCCTAGACTATTTTGTGTGTGGGAGAGAAAGGGCCCCCGATATTTCGAAAAGGGGTGGGATATATTATCCTGTTCTCGTATCTCGTATTCCGCTCGGCATGCGCAGATGGAGTTATATTATAAGTACAAGTACAAGTCATTAGGCACGGAATACAAATGGACTGCTTGGTGGGGGAGGGAGGGGGAGGGCCATCGCATGGAGGGGTTACTAAGGGTGTTGGGATCCTTGGAGATTTTTGACGGCCTGGCAAGGTTTGGACGGGGATGCTGTGCTCGAGCGCGAGTGTGACCTAAGCCACTTTGGAATTCTTTGGTTACTCGAGCTGGACAGGGAGGCATGGAGATGACATGTCGGTGAATTGAGTGACCGGAGCTTGATACATGTCTTCCCTCGCGGGACGCAACTGGAGCGATTGCCGTGCCATAATTACTACGATTATGTTGTAGATTTGAGGGTAACGTGGTTTAAAACCACGCCGGGATTCTGCATGGTGCAAGTGAGATTCGTTTTGAGGGACTTTCCCTTTCTTTCGATATCACCCCCATCCCTATAGCGCCTTATGCCTTTTTTTAATCTCCAATTGTCCTAATCTTAAAAAAAATTCCCGTCCACGGTAGGGATTGAGGTTGAAAGTCCATCATTCGGTCCATTAATCAGGCATCCCGCAATCTAAGTAGGGTAGATTATTGGATGTTCATTCCTTTGGTGCCAAGCATTGTAAACTGGCCCAACAAGACATGTTTGAAAAAGGTTGGGTGCCGTCGCCGCGAGTACCCAACCTCCCCTTGGTGGGTTGCCGCCGCTGTTGCTTCAGGGATTT